TTGTCACATCAGCCGACATTAGGATTCATGTAAAGGTTTCCATCCCTTGCTTCCCTCTTTGGCTCTGTTTCTCTCTCTCTCTCTCTCTCTCTCTCTCTCTCTCACACACACACACACACACACACACACACACACACACCATAGCCCCTGGAATGCTTCTCGGGGTCACTAACTTGGGCCAGAAGCCATTGCTTCTTACCAGCCCACAGAGGGTTACAGGAGGTAAACAGCATCTGGGATGTGACATAGCCAGAGCCTGTGTATGTGCGTGGGCACCCACTCTGGTGGGGAGGCAGAGACGGGAGGCTCTGGGAGTAGGGCAGGGCCCCTCCACCAACCTCCAACCTCACCTGCCCCACTGGGGCTCATACCACATTTCTTCTCCCTTGGAAAATTCTTGACTAGATTCCAAACACGTTCTGTAATGAAATCCACCCCCACTGAGACTAGGTGGGTGGCATCCCTGAGTGCCCACAGTCCCTTCAGCCTAGATACACTGGCAAATGGTCTCATTCTATAAGACGATATTAACAGGAGACGTTTGTGAACTGTGACTTCTATAAGGTCTTTTCAGAGAGTTACATATGTCCTTCCATTGTGGAAATTAGAAAAAAGGCAGGTAAATAACTTCAAACTACATTAGATAAATACCACAAGCAGTAATAGGACAATCATGAGCAATTTGAAGCCTGCCAGGCACTAAAAGAAAATGTCTAAGTCGGGGAGGCATCTGTACGGGAAAATGTAAAATGAAATTATTTCCATTCTGCTTCTCTTACACATGGACTTGTCTCCTGAGCCTCATAAGCACATTATCTCATTTGACAAAAAGTGTCAGCAAACACAGTGCTAACTTTAAAGGTTTAATATACTAAAAGAATTGCATTTTGGGGAGGAAGAGCAAAATTTGATATTGGCATACCTGTGGCTAAATTTTACTGTCAGAGTGAAATTATATTCTTTGGGATTGTGTTATGTCTGGTGACCTGAGTTGCCATCATTCAAAAGTGGGGATGCCAGGAGGAGGCCGGGGTCTTTTGATGGCACCTCACTACTGTCATTCATCTGCTGCATGTGCAGGAGCCTGGACTCGCTTGTGAATTTATTTATGGGCCTCTTCCTCCTCCTCTGGCTCCCTTGTGAACCAGCATCCACCGCCTGGTCATTATGCACACCCGGCTCCCTTCATGGGTTGGCATCATTGGGATCACATGCATCACTAATAATGACACTGGTGTGTCTGCCAGGTCAGGAGGGCTCCAGAGAACCAGCCATCCGAGGCGCCACGCTACATTTGAAGAGATAATATTGTTCCTGGTGAAGGTTATTCTGCTGCCAAGCAGCCCCAGTTAACAAAAAGGAACAACCCTTCTTCTATGTGGCAGGGCTTACTGGTAGGAGAGTGGCAGGTGGCTTGGGTTTTCATTCACACAGAAGGGAGGACTTGGCGCACAAGAAAACTGACATGTGAGGGTGCATGCCCAGAGGCCTTGGGCTGGGTTGGCAGACAGAAACCTGGTCTTGGCATTTGCTGGTGACATGTAGCATGACGATGCATCAGGATGGACAGTTGGCAGATGATCCATGACCCCATGAAGCCATACTGCAAGTGTGCACTATTCAGGGGTAAGCAGCTATGGCAGGCTAGGAGACCCCCTCCACCAGATCCCCAAGGGTGCAGGTGTGGGATTTGAGACCAGTCTGAAGTCTTGATCTTGGTCATTCCTAGTGGGGTATCTGGGTTGAATCTCAACCTCTGGGTAGTGGTCAGCAGAGGTGAGGGAGCCAGTGTTGGAAAGAGAAAGTTTCCAGAGCTCATGAGGAAAGGCAGTGGATCTTGAAAGCATGGTGTTGAATGGGCATCTCTCAGCCCACACTCAGCCTGCTGCCGATTGGCTTCTAGGACCCTCCTTGACATCGCTGCCCTCAGGTAGAGTGAGTATGTGCTGTGTGTATCCTGGTTCCCTGTTCCCTGCCACCCCTCTCAGTGCCTTTAAGACGAGTGACTCACACCTTTAGGCAAGAGTTGTGATATGTGCCAGGTTGCCAGGGATCCAGGCAGAGGCAGGGAAGCACAGCAGATTACCGAATGATTGAATCCATGCAATGGTTAGATATGAACTGTCTTCACATCAGAGCAGCCTGGACACTCCAGGTCGCCAGGATGAAAGAGCACAAGATGTGAGGCTGCAGAGCAGGATCACGTGTGTGTTCTCCATGTACCTGTGTCCCCCTGCACACATACATATACATATATGCACATACTACATGTTCACATGCACATCACACAAACCTCCACATACTCACTAGAATACCACACACACACACACACATCATATCACATCCACAACATCTTTCTCCATTTTCCAGTATCATTCAGACAGCAAATCAGCAGGATTTCATTGACAATACTTAGAGGGGACTATTAAGGTAGGCCCCATTCATTTGGAGGTCTATTTTAAACAACATGATAATAACATTTTCTAACTTAATTAACAGCATCCATATAAAAGGGGTTAATCAATCCATTGATTGAAAATGAGATTCCCAAGCATTTCTAAAACATTTTAACATATAGTTAAACAATTAGAATTTATTTGTATCTCTAAGTCTTTACCTACTGATCAATAAATCAATTTATTTATTATTAGGGGGAAACAGGTATAATTATGAGCATTAGCAAATCTTGACTGAAAGTTTCTGAGTCCTTGCCTCTCCTCAACTCCATAATTTAGGGAGCTGACGACTCTCATCTTACAAACAAGGCATTGAGGCTCCGAGAGGAGAAATTCACGGTCCGAGTTTGCCAGGCTGGCAAGTCTGAGGGCAGGAGCGCATCCCAAGTGCCTGGAGCCCACAGGAGGCTCTGCTTTCCCGACTGTGCGGGCAGCAGGAGGGAGTCTGTCTGCTGCTGTGGGACAGTGGTGTGGGGGGGATGTTTCATGGTGGGTCACTCTTTCAACACCTCCGGAGCAGAACAGGAACTTTGCAAAAGCTCCAGACAGTGAATTTCTCAAGGTCTTGGGCCTCTGGTTGCTATTGAAGGGTGGCTTCTGTGTTTCTGTACATTGAAAACCACTTTCTCCACTTCCCCAGCATTCTCTAGCCCTCGCCACTTCCCTTCTTTTTTCTCCTGAGGAGACTGGACTCCCCCAGGCTTCCAGCAGCTCCAGCAGCAGACAGCACTAGGCAGAGCGGGAGTTCCTGCCATGAGAGTCCCACACAGCGCTGCCCACGTGTCAGAACACCACCCCACCTGCATACGCATTCAGATTTCTCTCTCCATGTATTAAAGGTTTCTGAAATAACTCAATAACCCGGCTGATCTGGAAATTTTCCAATTTAGATTATGAGAGAATATAAGTAGCCATGTGTTCACTGCATGCCTTGCTGAGGAAGGAGACCTGATGTCAGGGTTAAGAGTCCCTGTCTGGTTCCAGGGGAGTCCTCCCCTGTTCCCCATCCCTTCACTTGATCCTCCAGAAAATGAAGGAATCCAAGTCTATAATCATGAATGTTTGCTCTGCTTCTAACCTTGAGTGATTCTATGATTTTGCTTTTGTTGAGTAAGATAGGGAAATAAACTCAGTTTTCACTAGCATTAATAATTATGTTGTCTGAGCTGGGTGTGTGGTGCATATCTATAATCCCAGCTACTTGGGAGTCTGAGGCAGGGGGATTGCAAGTTCAAGGCCAGCCTGGGCAACAAAGCAAAACTCTGTCTCAAAATAAAAAATGACTGGGTTATAGCTCGGTGGTAGAACACTTGCCTCTCAGGTACAAGGCTCTGCGTTCCATCATTAGTACTGGAGAGGGGCTGTCCATCACACAGGTGTGCTGCGATTCTTAAAAACTGATGGCAAGCTGGATAACATTCCCATGGAAATCCTTGCCATGGCTTCTTTGTGTTCCAAGCAACAACCCTAGCAGCCACCTTGCTTCTTCTCTAACCCACAACAAGCACAATTTAGCTCATTTTAGTTGGGAAAAAGTAGCCCATCTGTTAGGTGATATTAAAATTCAAAAAAGGTGTTCATATGGTTGGGAATGTTTTGTCCGCCTCTTTTAAATGCTTTACAATATGCTACAAGTGAGAGGAGAGTTTAGTGCAAGCCAAGTGCTCCCAGGATTAGCTCTCTCTCTCTTACACACACACGCACACACATCACCAGCAATGTCTACTCTGGCTGTCCTTATTGAGCTGAGCAGAAGAGACTGCTTGGATCCCTTTTCTAAACTGGCTTTGTTTAAAATAGGACCATGACGATTGGCGATTCTCCAGTTTCATGCGCCAGAACTGTTTCAACACAGAGCCTCAAGTCCAACTCTTTCCTAGTTCAATAGCGGTACAAACCATGTTTTAAGACACTAGAATCATTTTTCTTTTTTGGTTTGAAGAGGAAAACAAAGGAAAGGGAGAAGGAGATGGTTTAAGAAAACTGGATTATTTCCTAAATCCCTGGGGTCCTCTGTCACTTAGAAATTACTGATATATTCCTGACCCCAAGGTAAGGGTGGGACCCAGGTGAGGTGAAGGGTGCAATTCCAGTTGAGACGTGGTGAGGTTGAGATGGTGGGTGAAGACAAGACTCTGAATTAGCATGCACCTGAAGGTGAGAATCCAGGTGAGGGCAGGATTCCAGATAAATATGGAACTCCACAAAAGAATGGAGGGTGGAAGTCCAGGTAAGACATGAAATTGCAGTGGGAACAGGATTCTGGGTAAGGATGGGGTTTCAGGTGATCATGGCCTTCAGGTGAGTGTGAGATTCCAGGTGAGGACAGAACTATGTGGGAGGAGGTGCTTGCAGGTAAGGATGGCATTGCAGAGGAGGGTGGGTTTCCCTGGCAGGAGGGGAGCAGAGCTCCTGCTTTGGGGAAGATCAGAGCCCCTCTCACATGGTCCCCAGGATCTTATTGTTTAGGGACAGTGCAGGAAACCCTCCATATCAAGCAAGGACATCTCCACACTTTGAGGCAGAGGGGAGGGAGCCGCTTACTTAGATTGTCTTCGTCCTCCGTGTTGGTGGTGCCAGGGCTCAGGTACTTGAAGGGAGCGAGGAAGGTGGACAATATGCTTACTTTGTCTGGAAAGAGAAGAATAGGAAATGCACTTTTGACATCGAGTTTCAGAAGAACTCAATGCTTTCATATGTTCTTATTACCGAGGGGTTGGACAAGGGAGGTGGAAAGGTCGTTCTGGTTTTAGACACTTCATTCTGGCTCTGTCTTTTATTGAATTTCTGACAGCATTTTATCAAATTCCTCTCTCCATTCAATTTGAAACTTTATGATTTCCATCTTTCTTCGCTTATATTTGGCATCTTCCCTGCTCTCATTCCATGTCCCTTAAAACTTTCAATAATTGTCTTCAGGTAGCAACCTTGCATCTACTTACCAGGTGGGTGAGCCAGAGCCCATCATAGCAAGGTCACATCCCAGAGAGGAACTAAGGTGAGTAAAACAATTCATAATTTATAGAGAACCAGACCATTATTATTCCTCATTATAATTATTATATTATATTCAATTGTTATTCCTCGTTATGGAGAATTTCTTTTAGGGGCTTGAAATGCATGACTGTAATGGGCTTTTAAAACCATAGCCATGTCACCTAGTGGGCGTTTGAGCAGATGTCTAAGAGGGGTCAGACGGGCCTAAAAATAGTGAGGGCAGGGGATCTGGACAGTCCCTCCTGGAAATGGCCAAGTATGACGGATGCTGAGGATGCAATTCCAGAACTGTGCTTTGTCAATGCCCTTGTAGCCAGGAAGTCAAAAGTAAGATGGCCAAGCATCCTGGGTACCAGGCATCAAGCACAGCACAGTTGGCAAAATGGACCAAACTAGAAAATGCCACTCAAGACCAATAAAATGTCTCCTCCATAGTTTTAGAAACTCTTCTTAAACAAAGAGGTGAAGGAATTGTAGGTTGGAGGTATTTTGGGAGAAAAAAAAATGATCAAGGAAGGGAGCCCAAGGAGGATGTCCACTGACTAAGTTAAAGGCCAGGAGTTGAGAGTATTTGTGTGCGTAGAACCTGCTGCACCGGAACCCAGCCTGCTAGAGACACAGCACATGAGCCCCTCAGCCCAGGGATTCTCAGCTGCCCACTGATGCCCCTGCATCTGCAGGATGGATTATTGACCACATTTATTAAAAGGCTACGGATGGAAATGCCATCACTACTTATTCAGTGTGGTGGAGACTTACGGTAGAGTGACTTATTCTTTTCTTACCAAGTTGCTGGGTGAAGGCTCTACCAAAGGCTTAGTTGCTTTGATATCTGATGTCTTTCTCCCTCCTCTGAGGGTATCCACCCCTAAGGGCAGGGTGTTTTAGTGGGGCTTCAGTGTTCACATTGCACTCTGCGCCTTGTCTGCCTCTGGCACTACAGAGGAGCACTGTCTCCAGGGGGGCTCCCACTGGCACTGTATACCTTGATCGAAGTGTGATATTTTTTTCCTCATGAAAATGCTCACTGGTGGTTTTATATGCCCTTAGCCTTCAGGCATCTGGACGCAGCCTGAAACCTGATCCTTTATTTTTATTTTTATTTTTTTTCCTGAGGTTGAGCCTGTTTTCTCCTTAGCCAAGCTATCCAGAGGCCAGGGGAGTTCACATTGAAATTCATTCAGAAGCCTGTTAACAGCTGTTGTTTCCAACAGGGACAGGCAACAATATAATGTTCACACAAAGAGAACAATAAATAACCCGAATATAAAACGCCTGCTCCTTCTGCATTCTACCAAACAAGAAGAATAAACCCAGGGAAGGATTTGCTCTCTCTGAACTCTAACGGCCCAAGCTAATTTACTACAAGAGAATGAAATATCTTGCTTGAGTTATAATTTCATTAAGGGAGTCCAATAATGTTACACAAAGACTGTGAAGCTCAAATGATTTAGTCTAGAGGATCTCAAAATGAAATTACAATTTTTTTAATAAAGCAGGGCTACCGACCAAACACTCACAAAAATACCTTGAACTATTTCAGAGCTCACCTTGGCAAAATTGTGAAATATTTAAAGATTTTTTTTTTAAGATCTGCTGAAGTTGTCACTTTCTACTGTTGCTAGATTTATCAAATAAAAACACAGGACACCCAGTGAAAATTGAATTTCAGATAAATACCACATTTTTTTTTCAAATATACTTATATTGTCAAAATTGTGTGAGGGCTATCTAAACTGAGACAATTACTCATTATTTATCTGCAATTCATATTTCAGGCGAAGAACTTGAATAGACATTTCTCTAAGGAAGATACTCTAATGGCCAATTAGCACACAAAAATGATGCTCAGCATCACTAGCCATTAGGGAAATGCTATGAAAATCTCAGGGAAATTCCACTTCTTACTCACTACAATGACTAATGGAGAAAGTAGAATCCTTGTACACTATTGGTGGGAAAGTGAAAGGATGCAGCCACCATGGAACTAGCAGTTCCACTTGTAGATTTATACCTCAAAGAATCGAAGCCCAGGGAGATATTTGCACATTTATGTTAGTAGTTGTATTATCCACAGTAGCATAGAGTCAGAAGCACTTCGAATGTCCATCTACAGATGAATGGATAAACATTCCCATACCGTGGACTATTATTCAGCCTTAGAAAGAAGGAAATCCTACTATTTGTGACAATGTGGTTGAAACCAGAGGAACTTATGCTAAGTGAAATGTTGAGCACAGAAAAATAAATATTGCATGATCTCATTAATATGTGGAAATCAGAAAGTTCCAACTCCTAGAAGCAGAGATTAGAACAGTTGTCACTGGGGGCTGGAGAAGTGGGAAGGATGGGGAGATATTGGCAAAAGGATATACACTTTCAGTATGAGATGAATAATGAATTCTGGAGACCTAACACACAGCATGTGATTTATATTTAATACTAGTGTATACTTAAAATTTGATAAGAGAGCAGATTTTCTGTCTTCAGGATGTACACACACATATATATATACACACACACACACACATAAGGGTAACTATAAGTGTTGATGGAGGGCTTAATTAATTTGATCTTGGCTCTGTATACACATATTAAATAATCACACTACACATTCTGAATATATGCTTTGTGTCAAATAAATATTTTGAAAATAAATAGTCACTATGGCAAGAAAGAAAAGAATTGAATTATCTGTTCCTTCCGTTTTTTATCTAGCAGCCCTAATTAAGCCCTATCAGTTTTTCTTTTCTCTAGTGTAGTGGATTGTACATTTCACAGGCCAGCTTAAACAAACCAGACTAACAGAGTTGCTAACACTTGTTTACCATGTAAACACACTTAAAATTTCAACTATTATCTACCACCACCATCGCTGTATAAAAGAGAAATATCATACTGTGGATAGTACATACAAAGCAGAGAAACAATGGTTTCTAAGGAAGACAGACCATGTCTTCAAAATATTCTTATAAAGAGAGTGAGTAATTAAATTTTTTTATACAGAAAAAGTACAACAAAGATATTTGAGGTCAATGCCTTTCTTTACAGCTTCCCTGATAATTCACTTATCCATTCAGTATCAACATTCAACCAGCTCAGGGAGTGAGATTCCAATGTTCAACCCATTCTATTTTTTGTGTTTCTTAGAGACATCTTTTAGACTCCTGTTTTCATACAGGTTGCTGCTAAAAACTAGAGGCCATACTTTGAACTATTTGTGGAGATTTTTGGAGTACTGAGAGAAATTGATTCACAGAATTCTCCTTTCTTCCAGCGTCATCTCTCTTTGAATGTAAAGCCTAGAAGGAGGAGGTTGGTGAGCTCCCTGGGCATTCTCATCTCATGGTCCCGTTTTTCTGAAGTGAATCCATTCCACTGGAAATTGACCTAAGAGAGATACAGCAGGCTTGGACTGGCTCTGGTGTGGGAGCCAAGAACTGTTTTCAGGAAAGGTCTGATCACCATTAGGCATACCACAGCGTGGGGCTTTTAATGCATTACTTAAAATGTTCCAGGACATTTGCATTGTAAACCTTATTACTTGTTGAAGAATAATGGCTTTGCCCTTATTGAAATGACTTTATATATTTTTGAAGCACATAGGGAAGCATTTTCAGATGTAGAAGCCCTTTCCTGGAACCATATGAGATCATGTAGGATAGTTGGAATCTGCAAAGCAGAAATTCTAAAGTTATTTTTGAGTTGATGTCATGATGGTGTGGGGAAAACTATACTGTAATAGGGAGGAGAGATATACTTACTGCAATAAGGGTATTTTAGGTTTTTAAATATTTCCTCCTCATCTTGTTTAGTAATTAAAATATCCCAATTTGTTTATTTACTGTTTCTTGTTAACATTTTGGGATGAGGTTTAGCTTTACATATGATGTAAACTATGATTATCTTCCTTGAGAAAACACATATAGATAACAATGTTGTATTCAATATCAGGGATGCATGAGTCTCTCCCAGAAAGAATGTTTGATACAAAATCTTAAATGTTAAGAATTATTGTTGAAGCAAGGAATAGTGGCACATGTCTAAAAACCCAGCAGCTCAGGAGGCTAAGGCAGGTGGATCACTAGTTCAAAGCCAGCCTCAGCAAAAGCGAGGCACTGAGAAACTCAGTGAGACTTTGTCTCTAAATAAAATACAAAATAGGGCTGGGGATGTGGCTTAGTTATTGAGTGCCCCTGAGTTCAATCCCCAGTACCCCTCCACCCCAAAAAAGAATTATTGTTGAAGTGGTAAATGTAGTTCTTGGCCAAATCAAAATAACTATGTGTATTGAAGACACTGGGTTACTTGGTTATGAATTAACTTGCATGATTAGTGGGACCTGATTTTGTTGTGTTTATTCCACGTAAAGAAACTAAGACTTTAACCCCAAAGCGAAATGACACACCTAGACTTATCCATAGGGCTGTGGATGTGTACATGTTTCCAAGTGTGGCTTTCTTCTCTTGGAGCAAAGCCTATTTAAGGAACTCTTTATCTTTCTATGTTTTCTTCTAGAATGAAAATTTCTCCTGGAAGTAGCTGCAAAATTTTCTGGATTTTCGCACCTTGCCTTGCCTTTGTAGAACTTTAACTTCCCTATGTTTTATCTGCATACATTTAAAACCAGAAGG